CGCCAACCCGACTTCCCTGACACGCCTCAGCATCCGCAACGAACAAGTCAGAAATCAGGCTGAGAAGAGCTGTGAAGTTTTTTGCGAGGATTTGATGTACGAAAACAAAAGATACTGGGGACATTTGGGGGAAGAAGATAGGAAGCAGTGATCACGAATCATTAAAAGCCTGAGATGTAATCAGTTACTCGAAATGACTAAAAGAAAGAAGAATCGAAAGAAAACACATCCATGGAGAAAAAAGCAAGTAGCGTATTCGAATGATTCTTCGCTGCGGACGCTGGGACGTGTCCTAGGTTTGGCGCGGCTCCAAGTCGTTCTACACCAGTTGTTGTGGGCATACATGGTGGAAAAGGCGCTGGCGCCGGAATATCCAGCCCTTCCCCCCTAACATGACCATCCGGCGTCCACACCGATCAAGTCTGTACGTCAAAGTGAGCAACTGGGTGCAGAGCAGGTATGGAATAGCGTCACCACCAGCGCTGACAAAGGATGTGAAGGAATATACGGAGTGTGAAGAGGATAAGAATTCACCTCCCAAGCTTCTAATCGTGATATTATGTTCCTCCATTCTAAGAGAAGAGTACGATAACGGTGGGAAATAACTGCTGTCTTCGATGCGATCCGTTGAAAGGATTACTCTTCTAAGTGACCGCCTTCGTTGGCACAGGTCCGTTTTTGGGAGGGGCGTGTTTTGTAAATGTCTATAAAATAAGTGAATGTGGCGTAACATTCGTTGCACTGTATATCATCTGTACCACCCCTTGTCCCGTTGCTCGTCCTCGTGAAAGCTGGATAGTTGATTTCTTTCAGTCAGTTAATGCCTTCCGCAGCCCATCGAGAAACAATGACAGCCAATCACAAGGTGCAGCTGGTGCGAAGAAAAAGGCTGAATACACGGTAGGTTCAACTTTCCTCGCTTGCGTCTACACTCCGACTTACTTACCAGGGAAGTCCGCCAACTTACCATGGAACTTTGAATGGAGACCTGGGTAGATCGATAGAGTCTATAAGGTTATTTACAAATATAGATAGCAAAACTGCAACCTGCATTTCACAAGCAACTTATGAGCAGGTAAAGTTTGTAATGGTGGGGTGGAGGCTTTGGTGGTGAGCTGAAGCATAAAACGAGAATCGCATATTGGTCGAATCGAGTCGTTGTTGGCTCAGTGTAAAAAAAAATAAAAAAAAAAAAAAAAAAAAAAATATCGGTTCGACACACAGTGTTCGACGACTCGATTTCGACGTATGCGATTCCTCGCTTATGCTTCACAGCTCACCACCAGTCCTCCACCCTACTGCACCATTACAAACTTTACCTGCTCATAAGTTGCTTGTGAAATGCAGGTTGCAGTTTTGCTATCTATATTTGTAAATAACCTTATAGACTCTATCGATCTACCACGTCTCACTTCAAGTCCATTGGTAAAATTGGGCGACTTCCTTTGGGTTTAGCGTGAAAACTCTTTATTTGCGGGAAACGTGCAACGAAAATTCGTCCAGAGGCGTTTACAGGTGTGGATTTTGATCCCCTCTGAGCAGCGGCAACGCACGCATCTGTGGAGTACTTCCTAGCTAGTTGATATAGGGGTGCAGACAAAAAGAGAGTCGACGCGCCGCAGCTGTCGGTGGATTGGATCCTGCTGCGAATGAAACGCTCATCACCCAGCTCGCAACGAAGCGCTTGATGCGACGTACCCTCTTAATTCATTTGAGTTGTCTCACCCCTGGATACGCCGTGCATCTGGCTCTCACACGGTCGTGGAATACGAAATTATGGCGTCATTGCACAAATCGCTGTTTAGTGACCCGCTGCTAACGCTCCTAACTCAGGACAATACGACCCACGGTAGAGGGGCCAAACTACCTTAGGTCACTGGGGATCCCTAAGGTAGTTTGCTCTGATTCAAATCTCGATTTCACTGGGTTCTAATTCGTAGGCTTTATATGAGCATGCGTCAATTGTAATGTACGATGTCGTGGACACGATGAATCCTCCCTCCCTTGACACGGCAATCACCTGCAACCAGGTTGCCCAGCATTACATCGCGCCATCGGTTGCATAGCATTACATGACGATTATCTTGCTGTGTACCTCTTATTAGCTTTCGGTTCCTCATAAAAGCCTTCGACGCAGTTCGACTTGGTGGGGGCATTTTGCTGGTTCGCGTCAATCACTGTCGATGTCTTCTGTGGATACCTGTGAGTTCCTGTAAAGCGATACGAGAGCGGGAGCTCTTTCTTGACAAGAGTCTACGATATCACCAAGGTGTGACAGTGACGTGTAATTCAACACTAACTAGTATGAGGGACTGCGTGAGTGCACAATCCCCCCCCCCGTGGCCAAGCCGAACAGTGGTGAGCTTTTCATGTTTTCTTGTGAAATATGATGCATTTACTACCAGATGGTTCGAGTGGATTACAAAGAACGTCGTTTGGACGAGTTTATATCCTCCTCTACTGCTTCAGCGTCTTCATCCTCAGTAGAAATGGTTGAGATTACTGGCAGTCAGGATAGCGGAGGTTGTGAGGTGATTCTTTAGCTTCATCAAAATCGTTTCCAGAAGTAACTTTTTGAAATTCATCCTGCTTGGCATAGGTGAAGGAACCCCCCAATTTTTTTTGAATCCAAATTTGCTGGGTATTTCAGAAAAATACTTGTGAATCCTTCATGGGCAGAAATTATTGCCGCGCTGTTCTGAAATGATTTCCATCCCTCATTATTTAGGATATCATTTTTATCCCTCATCACTTAGGATCTCTTTGTAAAAAATAACTTTTCGCCGTCTACTAGCAAAACCTTCCATTTCTTATCAATCATCAAAGATGGTACTGATATAGATATATGTGTGAGGTTACAAAATGTCGCGTGCTTGTTCTGCTTATTCTTCTGACAAAGGATATGGACATGTCAGGAGGCTTGAAGGCATGGTTCTGGTTCACCTGGTATCCAGACGCCTTCTTTCGTACCACTTTCCCAGCTAAAAATACCTGATGAACGCCCGACGTACGCTCGCTGACGAAGCTAAGCGTCCGCCACTGTCCACGAAGCACCAACATGTCATTTTTGAGGTTCTTGACTCAGTTTTAGGTGCAAGTTGTCCTCAAGGTACAAGCATCGCGTTTGTGTGAAACAGGTCGTAACTTTTTTCCGCGTGGGCGGGAGGCGTATTTGGTCGTTTTTGGGAGAGGGGGTCGTATGTGCCTTTGAGAGGAAATTTGCCGCGTTGGGAAAAAATTTTCCCGGTTGTTGACTTTTCGCGTGATTTTGCCTGTTCATGCGTACTATATACCCCCTCCCCCCTTTCGACGGAAAATCTCTGGGTAAAAAACTGGCAAATGTGGGACATTGGTAGGTAGGTGCTGGGGAAGGGGCAGGGGGGGGGGGGGTCCTACTCACACTTTTTCGGAGGGGGGGGGGGTTGCGTCACGCTTAACCACAACCTTCACACATCACGATGTACGCTGGTTTTCCCATCCGCCGATGATAGTGAGGTGACCGATATAAACAAATGAGAAATTTTCGTTTTTTCGACCACTCTCCTTCTGTTCGCCTTGTGCAAGCACGTCGTGTTTCCCACAACGGTTACTGTACCTGTTCCCTGTAACTGCAGAAAGAAGAAAATTCGTTCCAAAATATCCCCGATATTTGGGTTCGTTATAAATGAAATTATTCTTGAAGATCAAGAGAAACAGCAATCCTGGAATAGTATAAATCTGAGGCCTCTCTCTACAAAATGATGCCTCATTTTCTCACATTTAGGCAAATAATGATGGTCAAAGAGTGTTCAATTCGAACTCGTTTGGTGCGCCTAAAGGAGGAAAATCTCTGCGAGTGATACATGCAAACAATTGAGTAACTGGGCCGTATCTTGAGCAAATTGTTTCTGGTTTGGTCGATTAAGGCTTTAAGCTTTTGATCGTTATTAAATGCTGGAGTCTGAATAATTCAAGTTTTTATTTCCTCGTCTTCACTTTGTAACAGGGGGGGAGATATCGTTGGGATATGCTCATGTTGGAGTAGAATGGTAGTTGCTAGTAGAGTTAGCATGCATCGAGTATCACAAACCAAGGTTCATTCCCATGGGGGAGGGAGGGGAAGGAGAGAAAAACCTACCGGCGGTGCGTGCGGAGTTGTAGTCTTGTTCACTGCTGATGATGGAGCGTTTCATTGGAGGTGGGTTTGGGGCGGCCCCAGCCCGTTTCACATCAGTTTTTGAAAAGAGCAAACGAAAGAATTGGTGGAAAACTAGCTGGCACCGCGCCAAACCAGCCCCTGCCACGCCCCAGCATCCGCAGCGAACTTGACGATAAGTCATTGTGGTAGGCCGACGAATGTCTGACGATGCCCAATCCCGCCATCACTGATCTCTCCACTGGCAATGAAGTCAGTAACACTTTGCCATCGTATTTATGCAGAAAACCATCCTGAAAGCAAAACCAGCTCCTTGTCTGGCTCAAGCTGTTGATGGTCAGTTGATCATGACCTCTACAACTCAGTGACATTTCAGAGATGTGTTCAAAACTATGACGTTTGTGGGATGCGTATCAGCGAACTCACTTCTTTTCCAACATGGAACCTCGCTATACGTTGTTCAACTGAATAGGATTCTGAAGGAGCTATTCTATCAGGTTACCATTTTGTATCAGTAATTGAATCAGTTGTTGTAGTTTCGGTAAGAACAGGGTACAGCATCGGAGAGTCCCATCAGGGGGAGGGGGTAAGGGGTTGGTCGCGCTTGGTCGCTGGGGAGGGCGCGTATCTGCCTTTGAGGAAAGCTTTTTCCGACTGCCATACAAGTGTTCCAGTTGCTGATTTTTCTCGTTTTTTCCTACTCGTTTCATAATATTTCCTACTCCCCCCCCTTCCCGCTTTCAGTTGGCAGAGCCATTGAAGTCCTATAGAACTACTGTCTTCGATAGTAGTAATTGTTTGGTGAGGACCCTTCCCACCCCCTAGAAGGTTAGAAAGTTAGGAAAACTCAGGAAGATGTTGGTAGGATGTGAGAAGAGGGACATAAAGGAGGAAGAAATTTCGAGGTGGCCGCCTGAAATAGTCATTTTGCGATGCATTACCCTGGGTAAGATTGGTGCTAATCAGTTGTGTTGTACTGTCATAGTGCTATAGGCACTGAACTCGTGCATGTAGTGATATCTTCAGGACAGGCTAAGCGTAACAATGGAAAGATTGTGGGAATAGTCAAGGTTTTTGAAAGACTGGAAGACGGACAAGACAATCGTAATTTGTCGCGTCGTCGCGCATATGGTGCGGCGATTTTACGATATGCTTCATCCATTGCCGATAGAAACAGCGAAAGTCGTATTAATTCAAACAAAGACACGACTCCATTTCAAGCGATATTGCATTTTCCCCATCCCTTTGACATTCATCCTCAAACGGCCACGAAGGGTAACTCGCCCGTCGGGCACAGCTTTGCTCGCCGCGCCCACCAGCGCGGTATATTACGATTACGTTGTCACGTACCCAAGAGACTGTTGCTATAAGGCCGCTGCTATAAAACTTGATTTCTTTAATACTGTTATGGCAATCTCCCATCGATACAAGTACAGTCCTCATCATTGCGGACTGTCGGGGCGGCTGAGCCGCGCTGCACTGTGACGCGACAGCGGCTGCGGCTCGGTGACGGCGAATCAGCTGATTTCCATGGAATTCGGCTGCGAATTCCCTTTTTCTTCTGCTCCTTCGAGCTTCGAAAGTTATTCTGACCAATTCTGAATTGTACTGACTCTGAATGAATCTGAAAGAATGCAAGCCATTTGAATAAATGCCTGAAATAAGGCAAAATACGGAAAAGAGGGCGCTGTTTGTCGACGGGGGGGGCATTTTGTATTATCATTGCTTCCCTAGTTCCGGTTTACAAATCTCACTCTGGTAAAACTTGTGAACTCTTGTGAAGCTGAAGTAAGATCGTCTAGCCACTATCCTAAAACGTGTCAACTCGAACGGATACCTAGATGGGACGACTATGGAAAACAAGATGCCCTCCCGTCGACAAACTGCGCCGGAAAAGACATAATAATAGGCATAAAAATAAAGAAATTATTCAGAAATAACTCACCTTCCACTTTCGAAGCTTGAAGAGCTGAAAAAGTGGGAATTCGCAGCCGAATTCCATCGAAATCAGCTGATTCGCCGTCACCGAGCCGCTGTCGCGTCACAGTGCAGCGCGGCTCAGCCGCCCCGACAGTCCGCAATGATGAGGACTGTATTTGCAACAGCAAATGGAACTGAAACTTCATGAGAGACCATACGTTTTCTTTTTTTCCAGACTTTAATATTCGGTTTTGGCAACATCGGGTCATTCAAGCTAGAAGAAGGAGCCAATATTCTTGAATTATTGTCTTTGGCTGGTATCGAAGGAGAAGATGAAGGTGCGTTCATTTCACAGCATTTGTCTTGAAAGCTCGAAAACTTCTTATTTTCTAGCACGGGCCCTGGACATCTTGAAATCACATGCACTGATGCTTCAAGACTACTTTTCGCTCGAAATATTGCATTCTGCTGATGAAGATAATCCACGGAGTCTATATCTGGCGTCAATACCCTCTCTCGTTAGTGGGTACACTCCACAGCTGGAAGGTCTGCCAGCATTGGTCGCAGGACTCGTAAAGGAGGTCGACTGGGATGAGGTTTGATAATTCTCTGCTGTCGATAGGGTTGTAAAAATTAACTGAATTTCTCTTCAGGAACAGGCTTGTTTCGAAGGCGTCAGTCGAGTGCTTGCTGATTTTTTCACGATAAAAGAGGATCTCTGCGAAGGTGGCTCACTCTCAGGTATGGAAGCAGCATTATTCCGACTTTCCAATAGTTCTCTTCTCGAACATTTTACCTCCCTGATCCCACCTCAGGAACATACTGAAACGAGACCTCTGTGAATTTGCGTTGGTGCGTTTGCGCGAGGCGCCAGGTTATTTCAATCGCCTTACAGTAGCAACCACTGTTGGAAACCAGCTGGCGCCGTGCCAAAACGTAATACCAAAGAACGCTTACCCATGACGCACCGATAGCGACTGTACTTATTAGCGGATTATATACGGTAGAATAGTTTCAGGTGTGGGTGAAAAGGACATACTGTGGTTGCCGGTTATTAGAGATCTGCTCGTACCACGAATCAAATCGCATTTGCTGCCACCGAAATCGTTACACGATGCAGTTGTCCGACTAGCTGATTTGCACGATCTTTACAAAGTGTTCGAAAGATGCTAAGCCAGCCAGATTTTCCTCCTGACTGACTCAGACACTCATTTCGCTAAGCAATATGATGGTTCACTTAAAGGTTAAAGACAGTGGGCAAGATGGCTGGGGGCGGCGGTTACTGCCAACGTCATTGGTGGAAGGGGTGATTGGGGTGTGGTCAAACGCCCTCTCGCAGCCGTTCCACCAATCGTGACAATCAGACATCGTGCTCACTGCTTTTCCATAATGAGATGTGGTTTAATGTAAGGATGTTGGTGCCCTTTTTTCCCTTTTTTTTGTATTAATTTGTGGATTTTTCACTCGGTTTCTATGTATATAGTATGTCATCTCGTTATTGTAACTGGTACTGTACTATGTTTGTAGTCCAATCCAATTGTCGTGTTTCCGTCGTGGGGATGATCGGTTTGGGAGAACGGGTGTACTTGGGGATCATCGGTTTGGGAAAACGGGTGTACCATCTCTTCTGTTCCTATAGACCTACCTTCACACACAGTCTCTATTATCTTTTTGGGTAAAGAGTCATCTGTCTGTTCTTGCCGTTATGGATGCTTTACGCTGCCCTGCCGCTGGGGTGCTGAATGGAGGAAAACCTCCTTGTAAGGCTCATTGTGTTGAAATGTTACTATTTACTTGAACTTACGGGGCGCTGTTCGGTTTGAGGGGGGCATATTGAATTGTCACTAGTTCCTTTTTTGTATATGTCGAATAACAGGTCTCATGGTCTCACCAAAGTGAACCTGTAAACTCTTGTGAAGCTACGAAATGGTACAACTGAGCAGTTTACTGAGGCAATTCATAGATCTTTACAAGGTGGTCGAGGCTTCGTTGAGGGTGATTCGTTGCCCTCCTCCCCCCCCCCCCTACCAGCCGAGACTCAGCAACAGTTTCATGCAGTTCGGAAGACTGCAGGATTCCAACTATCTAAATAACTTTTTGAGAATATTTCTGCATAACAATTATCGAGAAGCATTATCATAAATAACTGGTGACTTACTTGACTAACAGGTCAGTTTTCTGCATTGTTGCCTTCGTTTTGTTCTCCACATCAAGTTCCCATCCATGCGCACTTTCATGATGTTACTCGTTGAATTATGTAATTGATATCGTCGGAATTAAGACGGGGCGGTATCATGGGGGGGAGGGCGGAGGGATGAACCCGCATCCTGCTGCCCTTTCCCATCGATAGTGATAGGTTCGTGATCGATCTGGGAAGAAAACAAACATTGATGAAAACCTGCGATTGGGCTCATTCCTTGCCTCTTGACATCGCTCGAGTGATTGCGACGATATTAACTTTAAGCTGGATGTTGAATTTCAATCTCGCAACGTTTCTCTGTTATGTGTCATCTCAGATTTTTTTATAAGTACCGCATTAAGCAGTCGCAGATTGTCAATTTTGAGTTTGTTACCATGTTTTTTCTTTTTTGCATGAATATGGATAAAGAACGTTCCTAGCACCGTTTTATCGCCCGGTGTGCCTTTTTTTATTCCTTTAT